CTATACTAATGGAACAGCATAATGAAATAAGAGAAAGTGTGGCAAGCCAAAATTCCAAAAGGAATATAATTGCAGGCCTGACACAGAGAGAGTTTCTTTCAAAAAATTGTCCAAAGGAAAAGAGTGCAGGTAGTCCTCAACTTACAACAGTTCATTTAGGGACCATTCAATGTTACAACAGCACTGAAAAAAAGTGACTTATGACCTTTTTTTCACACCTACAACTGTTGCGGTTATCCCCATGGTCACGTGATCAAATTCAGGCACTTGGCAACTGACTCATTACTTATGACGGTTGTGGTATGCCAGGGTCATCTTTTGATCCTCTTTTGTGACCTTCTGACAAGCAAAGTCAAGTGGGGAAGCCAGATTTACTTAAAAACCGTGTTACTAACTTAACAGCTGCAGAGATTTACTTAACAATTGTGGCAAGAAAGGTCATAAAATTCACTCTACAGTTGTCTCACTTAGCAACATATATGTGCTCAATTGTGGCAATAAGTCAAGGACTACCTGTGTTTCTGATAAATCATTCCATGTGGTATAGGGCAGGGGTCTCCAATCTTGGCAACTTTAAGACTTGTGGACCTCCCAGAACTCTGAGAGTTGAAGTCCACAAGTCTTAAAGTTCACAAGTCCCCAAGTTTTAAAGTTGCCAAGGTTGGAGAGCCCTGGTGTAGGGTATTCCTGCATCGATTTAGTTATGAAGGCCTTCCTTGAACAATCCTCTCCAGTGTTCGTAACCTCATAGACTTCCCATGTTTCCATAACCCCAAGAGAACTTAAGAGGAACCAGCTTCCTACTGATTTGTTCACTAGAACAGCTACCCTGATATCTGGGGAAGTCCTGCCCTTTGGGCACTTGTTTGGAGAAGTTCTTCTCATAGAAAAATGTGAATAAAATAACCCACCTATTTCCCTATCTACAAATCTGATGGTCCATTTGCAGGCATTTTTGACCAACCGTAGGTAGCACTAAGTCTCAAAATGCTAGGACATATTGAGAGCACTTAAGGAAAAGTTGCCTCTCGGGAATCTAGTTCAGGGGGTAGAAATTACTGTACCTTATGGGTCAGAAACAAACCTATTTTGGATTTCTAGATTAAAACTACCAGTAGTTGCCTTGATGCTATCAACATTTTTCTTCCTCATTATGTTTTGTTCCCAGTTCAATTTGTAGAAATTAGAAGAGAGCAGAAGGAGATCAAGAGGGTTAGACTAAAGGTTTTTATTGGGTTTGGGGCTTCCTATGGTGGCCAAGGATGCAGTGGCTCCAATGGCTAAGATGCTGAGTTTGTCGATCGGAAAGATCAGCAGTTCGGCGGTTCAAATCCCTAGGCTGCGTAATGGAGTGAGCTCCTGTTACTTCTCCCAGCTTCAGGCCAACCTAGCAGTTCGAAAGCACATAAAAATGCAAGTAGAAAATTAGGAACCACCTTTGGTGGGAAAGTAACAGCGTTCCGTGTACTTTCGGAGTCTAGTCATGCCAGCCACATGACCACAGAGACGTCTTTGGACAGCAATGGCTCTTCTGTTTTGAAACGGAGATGAGCACTGCCCCCTAGAGTTGGGAACGACTAGCACATATGTGCAAGGAGAACCTTTACCTTTACCTTTATGGTGGCCAAACATAGGGAAGTTACTGTATAAACAGAAGGCAGATATTAACCTTCCCTCATTATTTATAGCCCAGTAATATCGTGAATTACAGCTTTATCCTCCATGAATGCATCTCATTCCTTTTCAAAGCTTTATAAATTGCAGTCCTTCACAAACCTTGTGGAAACAAGCTTCATTATTTAGTTATGAGTGTACTATATACTCTGTTCTTGTGTGAAGTAATATTGCCTCTCCTTCTAACGTAAGCTTGAAGTAATAATGGAGAAAAAGCTGAGTGAATCACATCCAGGATGAAAGGCTTTTTATATATATATACCGTATTTTCAAGACCAAAAGCCGCACCGGATTATAAGCCGCAGTATCAATTANGAGGCCTGCACTTTACAGGCCTCCCAAACCCTCTGCACGGCCATTTTGGTGAAGGGGGCGGGATTTTGGGAGGCCAAAAATGCTGTATTCAGTTTATAAGACGCACCCAGATTTTCACCTCTTTTTTTGGGGGGGAAAGGTGTGTCTTATGCTCCAAAAAATAAGGGTATATACAGATAGTCTTCAACTTACAACTGTTTGTTCAGTGATCGCTAGAAGTGACCTTACAACTCTTGAAGCATCCCCCGGGGTCAGGTGATTTACATTTGGAGGCTTCACCACCAACTCACATGTATGACGGTTGCAATGTCCTGGAGTCACACGATCCCCTTTCACGACCTTCTGACAATAAAGTCAGTGAAGAAACCAGATTCGCTTAACAATCGTCTTACTAATTTACCAACTGCAGTGATTCACTTAACAAATGTGGCCCCCCCAAAAAAGAGTTGTAAAACAAGGCACGTTCTGGGCTCAATTGCGGTTGTAAGTCAAGGACTACTTGTGCCATGTGAGCTCCCCAAAACACGACGTTTGTGTGGAGGCCGCACTCTCCTCCTGAACTCAAGGACGCATTTCCCACGCACCCACTTTTCTGCCACACAAACTGAACCAAAGGGCACCCCTGGCTCACCTGGGCTGGCGGGAAGAGAGTAGGAGTGCTCCAGACCCACCACGCTACTCCCGGGCAAGGGGGCGTTGGCACTGCTTTCCACTTTTAACAGATTCCTCGGTGGAGGGTCGGGGGGCTTACGGCGGAGAAGTGGCCGCCTTCTTTTAGCGCCCTGTGGAAGAGAACAAGATAAACTTGGGGAAGGTATCCGGCAAATCCAGCTGGCTGTGTGACACAGCTGCCAATGAGAGGCTTTTAGGGTTCGCTGACAGAAAGAAACAGATCCCATGTTATGGATATCATAGAATAACAGAGTTGGAAGGGACCTTGGAGGTTTTCTAGTCCAACCCCTTGCTTAGGCAGGAAACCCTACATCACTTCAGACAAATGGCTATCCAAAATCTTCTTAAAGACTTCCATTCAGAATTTCTAGAGGCAAGCTGTTCCACTGATTAATTGTTGTAACTGTCAGGAAATTTCTCCTCAGTTCTAAGTTGCTTCTCTCCTTGATTAGTTTCCACCTATTGCTTCTTGCCTTGCCTTGTGGTGCTTTGAAAAATAGATTGGCCCAATGGTGGGATTCAATTTTTTTTACTACCGGTTCTGTGGGCATTGTGAGGAATATAATCTAACGGTTGGGTTGGCAATATATAAATCATATAGCAATGCTGTACCTGTTTCTTCAAATCATACTGTA